CACATAGCTCAATATGAAATCTAAAATTATACCAGAAAGTTAGTCATCAAGATAGTATTTAATTACAATATTTTCAAAGTCAAAATTAGTACAGAAATATCTATTTAAAAAGCAACATTTTAAAATAAAAGTGGGCCTCTGTCTGTTTTGGTGCAATGGGATCAGACCTTTCCATCAACCTTCCCTTCCTGGACCTGGCTGGGTAGTACAGCCCATGACCACCGACAGACAGACTTATGGGGGCTGTCAACATGTTGAACAGCACAAGTCTTTATATATGGTTTTGGTTTTCATTGTAGAGCTTCTTATAATCTTCCTATTTGACTCAAAATATCAGACAATACTTTGATAAAGGTGTATTGGATTGTTCAGTTTTCCTTTTGTCTCAGGCTTCCACAGGGCTTGTCATGAAGCTGGAAGGCAGCGATGGCAACCATAAATTTTAAAGACTTCTGTCTCTAATATGGCAAGCTACATCAAAAGCCTTTGTAGGACTCATGCCCTTTGACTCAGTTTTCCTATTTTATGCCTCGAGCTAAGTAAATTATCTTATAAAAACATAAAATACAGTGTAGCTATTCAAATACAGTGTTGTATGTATCTATTTAAATAAAAAAAATCCTACAATTTGCTATTGAATATCTAAAGCACTCTAAAAAATAACATGCACAGCATGAGGTGACTTTTGTTTTAAATAGCTACATATTTAAACAGCTGTGCACAGCACATATGAGTATAAGTAAAAAGAAATGGGTAATATATGGCAATGAGTGAAGGCAAGTAAGTAGGCAGATTATTGGGCTATATCTCTAAAATTATCTTCTCTTAATTTTCAGTAGTAAATCACAGATTGTTTTCATCTTATGTCTAAATTATTTATATTTTTTACCTTTCTCCAACAAAATAGCATTATTTCAGTACACATTAAAATTATTTCAAACTTATTTTGACAATCACATGTGCTTCCGCAACTTGATGACAGACCAACCAATACAACCAATTTCTGCTTCATAGAAGCATTTCACTTCATTGAAATTGTCCATAGGAAGACATCTCTCTAACATTAAACGTGCTTCAATTACCAACAGTGACACATACCTATAAGAAAACAAAACAGGTAACAATTCTCCGGAAACATATGTTCAAGATGTCCTTTTCTTTTTCACAGCATTCTCCAAGAGCATTTAATGACTCATCATCCTCATAGCTACAATCTTGTCTACATTCTTGACAACTGTTTCTTGTTTACCAGGAAGGCCATCATAGTAACGATTTCAGCATAATGTTGGATAGAAAGCGGTGATGAACATGGGTGCAGGCCTGTGTGCATGACAGGCAGACATGGTTTCAATCTTCCAGGAGAAAATTGAGACAAAAGTTCTGTTTGAAAAAAACTGACATTTCTAATATTCTGATTTTAGCTAACATTTAGCTAGAAGGGTCACCAAGGTATTTTTGCAATCAGATAAACAAAAGCTATGTTTCCATGACAACAGATAATATATGAGAAAGGTAACAAAAAGTTACTGAAATATTAATGTTTATCTTAATACTGACATATGGAAAATGATCATGAAGTTGATCTTTCCATTTTTCAGGCTTCCTAGTCTACTTTAGTACTGGCTCTCATGGAACTGGTCAATGTTCAGAATATTGTGGGTTTTTTTGTTTGTTTGTTTTGTGGTATTGGGGATTAAGCTCAGAACCTTGTATATGCTAGGCAAGCACTATACTGAGCTACATCCCAAGCACCAAATACTGCATTTTTAATGTCTCTCTATAAACCAGGTTATTGAGAGGGACTTAATCTCTCCCTCGTTTCTTTTAGAATCTGAGTACAGGAAGGAAGTGCTGTGATAAACCCTTGGATCTCTTCAAACTGACCCAGAAAAGTGCAGAAATGGCTAAAGCAATAGGCACACATTTTATTCATTCTCTTTTGGCACAGAGAGCAGTAGAGTTGCTCATAAATTAAATGTTATCTAAAGAAAGGAGAAAATGGGCTACTTTCTAGAAGTCTGCCCTAAACCACAGAAGAGATGATGGAAATGATTGGAGGACCAGCATAGTGTGGACAGGGTGCTAGCAATAAAGACTTTAATTTTAGAAAACCCTTTATCTTCAAAGAAACTCACAAATTTTATTATATCATGCCTGAGCACTTTAGACTCAAGTAATACATTTTACTTAAAAGATCTCATTTCCTTCAGATAAGGCCATGGTTTTACCGCCAATAGGATATACTGGAGCTGATGCCCAGAATATGATCTTATTTCCCTTTGAAATGATCACTGGTCTATATTGAGGCCATTTTGTACTTGTCCTCAACCTAGTTTCAATTTTTCAAAGGAACCCAGGTGTAAATGTTTTAAGGTCAACAACTCCTGTTGCTTTCTGAATGGAACTTAGAGCTCATGTTCCTAGGACTTCAATGGTCCATGCTTTTTGGATTCCCCCTGACTTTATGCATGCTGCGGACAGATTGAGTCACGTTGTTTTGTATCAAAGTAAGGGCTACAATAATCCATACTGTGCCTTTCAGGGCCATTGTAAGCCCTGTTAATGGGTCTTTCCCACATTTGAAATTTTATTGAGGAATAAGACTTTATAATTTAAATAAAAATATATACTATTAGAATCTTCCATGGTGGTGAAAGATCATTGTGAGTTCAAGACTGAGCTATATAGTAAATTCAAGGCTAGTCTGAATTATATAGCAACTATATAACATACCCTGTCTCAAAAGGAAAAAAAAGAAATAGGAACTTATTAGTAAAAATAAAATCCCAACCCAACTCTAACACAAGGGTTAAGATCATTAAGAGGTATATATATTGCTAGATTCTTTAAAATCCTATGATAACTGCTTTTAGTAAAAATATGAACTCAGTGAAGGACATCTAGAATTGGACTGTGAAGAAGTTGAATTGTTGTAAGTCATAATAATTTTGCTTCAAGTTATAGACCATGGAGAAATTAAGGCATTTATTCTAAAAAAAAAAAAAAAAATGTTGAGATAAAGGAGAAAGCTTAAAGCAAGCAGTTACTTTCCTGCCACTCCATGTGAGCTGGCTCTGATCAATGGATGTCTTTTCTAACACCTTATCCTATGCCTGATGATATCCTAATCAGATCATGATTGAGCTCCAGACATGTACTCGCCCCAAAATCTGCTGCAGAAGGACTACTCACTCAGAAAGTCAAACTCGTGTTATCTTAGTAGGTAGTACTCATGCATTCTGACTTTGTGTGTGCAGTGGCCTCTCCCAATGGAAGTTTCATTTACTCTCAATGACTAAGAGACAGCTTTCTTGGTCTATGGAGGAGGACTTTTCTTTCATATCACATCAGCTTTCTTCAAAGTACTGAGTAGATACTAGCTCAACACAGAGATGACCAAAGTCACAAAGTTATGGTTGTACCTCTTTAAATGATTTATTGCCATAATTTTCATTACTTTGGGGACTATCATTTTTACTCAGAATTTTTTTCAAACAGAAATTCTTAGTTTTTCTTCCCAGTTTAGAAATGTGGATTGGGCCGGGGAGATGGCTCAATGGAATAAGCGCTTCCCTGGCAAGCGCAAGGCCCTGAGTTCAATCCCCGGTACCACCAAAAATAAATAAATAAATATAAATGTGGATGAATGCAGGAAGCTTAAGGGACTTTCCCCTGCTTTTCTATGGGAGAAGACCTAGAGCCAAGGCAGAGCATGTCTTTTTATGAATTTGTGCCAGAAAATTTAGGGAGAATAAATAGAATGGATCCCTCAGGATTTAGGAACATTGCTTTTCTTCTTGAGGGATCTATTTACCTTCTAATAGAAGGCACTTCAAAAACTCATACTGAAAGAAAATTTGAAAAGGACCATTGATGCATACTAAATATACAATTTTTCTTTATATCCCATGGTCATCAACTGGTACAAGGGTTGTTATTACCCATGTCATACTTGCCCTTTGTGGTGATCAATGTTTGATAGAAATTCATAAGAAAAAAACACTAAGATAAGGGGAAGGGGAGAAGGGCAGGGGAAGAATTTTCAATTTTAATATATTTTGCTCATTTTTATAAGAGAATTCCACACATTAATCCTACTAGTTTTAAATTGTGTAGAATTGTAACATTCCTCTAAATATTTAGATCTACATATTAATATTAATGTCTATAAATATATACTGCAAAATACATAAAAATGACCTTATATTCCAAAAAGAAAACAGAAAACACTATAATAAACTAGATCAATATTTTAGTTAAAATAAATAGCTTAGACAAAAACCAGGGAATTTCTCAGAATTAATGAACTTCTATTTTAACCTAGTAAAACCTAGGATGACTTTTTATTGGATCAATGAATAGTACGTCTCCTAAATCATGAAAATACTGTGAATATCTCTCAGTCAAAGCAATTCTTAGTGACTACTAGGGGCTAAACATCATAAATCTCCCCTTCTTAAATTTATACACGGAAACCCTAAGCCCTGGAACCTCAGAACCTCACATGGAGACAGTTCTGAGGGAGGGACTCAAGTTAAAGTTAGATCAGCAGTGTAGGCTCTAATGCAATGTGACTGGTTCCTTAGAAGGGGCAGGAACTTGTGGACACAGAGACATGTGTAGAGGCTTTGCTCTACACGTATGAAGGACACATTGGCAAGCCGTGGAGTGGGGTCTGAGGGAGATCATTTTCTTACACTCTTCAGAAAGAATCAATGCTGGCACCATCTTGGTTTTGGACTTTCCGCCTCCAGAACTGTAAGAAAATAAATATCTGCTGAAGCCATCCAATTGATGGCACTTTACCAAACTGGCATCCCACTATCCCATCAAGAACCAGAGCCACTGGCCCTGACCAGAGCCTTTGGTTTCATTTATGTATTTGCCACAGTTGTTGGCACCAGGCTGCAAGGTCAGGAAAAAGACAAAATAAATGTTAGATCCCAGTGTGTCCAACCAACTAACAGGAAGATGGAACAGAAACACAGAGCCACTGCAGTTTGATTACTCTCATGATTTATTAATATTCAGATTGAAAAAGGAGCCATAGAGCCGCAAGTTACGCTAATTGGCACATTTGCTTTATTATTTATTTACTTATTTATTTTTAAAACAAACTGGGTTTTTTATTTTTTTTCCTTTTTGTTCATTCCATCACATTGAAAAGAAGAGAAACAAAAATGGTTTTGAATTCACTTGATATTTTGGACTCCTCAGATGAACGGAACATTGCACACACACTTGGAACAGAGAGAGATAGAGAGGAAAGTGGATTCCCACAGGGCCACACGCACCAGATCAAAAAACTGGGATACAGTGCAAGAATTTCCCAAAATGATTGGATCATCATTACCAAAAACTCGCCATAACAACACCAAGAAACAAAAATGTTTAAGCCACACTGTTTGACTTGGGATCTTTCCTGCTTTTTTTTTTTTTTAAATGTTTGCCACACAGAGAGAAAGAGGGCCAGTGGGTAGGAGAGGACAGACTCACAGATGTGAGCAGGACAGGGAGGGCATCTTCAGAGTGGAGCTGAGAGAGGGTGGGAGAGACAGGGCTCAGGAGAGGGGAGGGGAGGGACATGGAAAGCCATTTCTTAAAGTTCAGGCATGTTCTTGGTCAGCCTCACGTTCTTCTTCTTTACCCTCATCCTGCCGGGCACTTTCCTTAGGTTTGGTTTCATCTACAGCTTCTGAGGAAGAAAAAAAAACAAGATGGGGTGGAAGAAAAAAAGGAGAGTTAATATTTTGTGTCATCTGATCATGCAATTTTACAGCACAATTCTCCTTTTCATACCATATGTAAGAGCTTCAAGAAAAAAATATTATCACTGCTCCAGTAATTCAATGTCCAAGTTCAGGAGTTGACCTCTAGGAAATCTTTCAGGAGCACATATGGAGAAGATTAGAAAGAAAGGTGTGATCATAAGAGAATGCTGTCTTCTCAGCAGAAATTTCTGTGGCCTTTATCTTAATCTTACCAACAAATGGGAGGTTCACATAGGGAATCAGTAATCATCTTGCTTTTCTCTTCACATAATATCAGAATAATGGTGACAGATAATTTATGTACATTACTGAGCATTCATTCCAATTTCTAGAAGCATAACTGCAAAGTTGAATACTTTACTTTGTACTCCTGTAGGGGGCAGAGATGTTTGCATGACAATATGGGCCAATTACTATTTTCAGAAGACAGCAGAACTGGTTTTGACTTTTGCATTCACACATCATAATAACTAGAGTAACAAACAATATTTGATTATGTATCAGTCATTTTAAAGCAAAGAAGATAAGATCTTAGGTAATAAATATGGTAAAACAGCAAGAAAAAAATCATTATTGAGTGATTATACTGGACATCTTTCTTTCATACCTCTTAGTTGTGAAATAAATGATTAACCTCTATAAGGCACCTTTGTAGTCTGCATTTTCTTGCAAACAAGAATATTTCAACTGAATATCCATATTAAACCTTGTTTAATAAATAGGACTTTTCATGTTTTGGAATGTTGATTTTTCCCCTTGCAAATTTCCCCACAGAACTTGGATAATTAACTTATACTGCAAGACAGCGAGTGAATACTCCAGCCTGTCTAAAGAGAATTCAGTTGCCCTGAAATCACCTGTGGTATCCACAAACAACAGCCCAAGAACCCCTTCCCTGCCTAGCCTTCTAACCCCAATGATTTGCTAGCAAGACTCAGCACTCAACAAACAGTTCTACCCCTGGCTATAATTTATTACAGTGGAAGGATACAAGAAAAAAGCAAAGGGAAAAGTTGTATGAGACAGATTGGAGGAAACCAGACACAAGCTTCCAACAGTCTTTTCCCTATGAAGTCCTAAGGTTGTGCTTGATTCTTTCATCACTACATTGTGACAACACATGTGAAATATCATTTGTTAGAGATGCTCACTTGAGCTTCCAAGTTCAGACTTAGAAGTGGAGGCCTGTCACGTAGTCACACTCTGTCTAACATGCAACTAGACTCCCATAAGGAAAACAGATGTTCAGCTTCAACTACATTCTATACTCACAGATTTTAGGCACAGGGTATCAATTTATAAATGAAGAAATTGTTAGAACTCCCTCAAAACAAACTTCATTGATTCCTGCTGTGGCTCAGTTTTATGAGCAGGTTTTTCTAATGATAGCAATTCCAGATTATTTGCTGAACACTTCCTGATGTCTAAAATAATCTGTGTCCTACAAAAATGAAGTTCTTGCTATTGCTTTTTCTCATCTTAGTGTCTACTAGTTAATAGTGTTTTTTTTTCAACAGTGGTTGCTGTGTTGCATAATGTTGTCTTCAAAGTAATTGTTTATATTAGCAGACATAAGCTTGCAAAATTGGTTAAAAGAAGTTACAAGGAATCAAAAAGGACACAAAAAATAAATTTAAGCATCAACTAATATTATTTCTCATAAAGATGAACTGGATTCAGGGCAATCTTCTTAGGCTAACAAATTTATATTTAAAGGTAATGGGTGGACTTAAATAACTGAAACACAGAAGTATAATGTGACTAGACTTTAAAGAGATTAAACTAGCAATGTTAGATAAGGTGGATTTGATGGTGGGAGATGATGTTGAGATGAGAAAAAGGAGGCTTATTAAGGGGTCTCTTAGAAAAGCTCATTAATGTATATATCCTTCCAATCAGTCAGTTATTTATTTATATCAAGACTAAAGTAAATATTTGTATCTATTACTGCTTTCATTTCTTTATGATGTTAAATCTATACAACTTCATTGACTGGGTATGAGAGACTATACAGAGAAAAAGGTGGGCTTCAAATTCCAGAGATATGAAAAAAAATCCAAAATTGTAAGGTTCAGGCAGGGGAGATAGCTCAGTAGAATAAGCACCTGTCTGGCAAGTACAGGGTCCTGAGTTCAATCCCTGGTACCACAAAATAAATTGTAAAGTTAAAGAGAAAATAACAAAATTATTATGAGCATTAATAGATGAGAATCTCTAAGGAAGCAAACTGCTTCCTTTGTTTGTTACAAGCTAGAACCAACGTTAAGATTACTATGACCTAGTTAAAAAAAAATGCCAGTCATTAACATTTTTAATTCCATCTCAACTATCAATACCTTTTTGCATTTTTTAAAATTGTATTGGTATACTTCACATATAAATAATGATAACATTTACAGAAGCTTCATTCCATTTTTCACTTCTATTTTTTTTACCTTTTTTTTCTTTCTCCTACAGCCTCCCTTGCTCCCCTTCTCATTAGAATATTTTTATCCATTTCCCAATATCTATTGTACATTGTGGTTCTTATTTACACTTTTAGTTACCAAGTACCAGTTTAAATATATTTTGGAATTCTTTCTTTGGAACATCTATCTAAAAACACTGTGTTAAGTATTCTCTGTACAGAAAATGTCATTTCCTTAAAAATATATTTGTTTTGTAGAATCAAACCAGGCTACTCGGTAACTAAAAGCAAATATCCCTAAAAGGCAATTTGATTTTGCACTGACTTACTTTCAACTAAAGTTTTAAACTCTTATTTATTTTGTAGAGCTTGTTACTCATACGAACCATTTTAAAAATCTAGAGATTTGAGTGGTATTAGGTATGCTTATTTATAAAGAACTTTTGAGCCGGCTCCTTTCCAAGTTGACAATTATTAACTCTTGTAAAGTGTACCAAAACAAGTTCCTGGTCTGTTACTTACACACATCTGCAGTGTGCCAGACATTCTTATATGCCAGAGAAGCAGTGAGGAAGATAGTAAATGTTCTGATTGTCAATGAAACCTTTCATAAGTAGGATCCTAAAGAGACAGTAAATTTCACAGCCATAAAATATTGTAGTCAGAGTGCCCTTTAAGATCATGCAGCAGCTATGTACAGCCTCTCAAAGGGGTACCATAGTACCAACTTTGAATTCTCTGTGTCCAGCAGACAAAATTAAAAGTCCTCAGTACATATTTGTTGAATGAAAGAATAAGTAAACAACCTCATTTTATAGCTATGAAAATTGAAGTCCCCATATGTACTCAGACTTTTCCTAAACCACACGATTTGCTCATGGCCAACCCAGACTGAAGCACGGGTCTTCTGCCTGTGTGAGTCGCCCCATTACAGCAAGTGGACAAACCCAAGCTATAGAGGAGAAGCACAAGCCTGTTCTAACAATTCAGTAGCAGAAACAAAATAGCTGAAGCCTACAAAATTTTAGGGACCTCTGAGATTCAGATAATTTTTTTGCCAGCAAAATATAAAAACCATAAAACTAAAATGGATGATGGGGCCGGGGAGATGGCCCAGTGGAATGAGCGCTTCCCCGGCAAGCACAAGGGCCTGAGTTCAATCCCCGGTTCCACAAAAAATAAATAAATAAATAAAATAAAAGTAAAATAAAATGTATGAAATTCAAATAGATATTTACAGAGTTGTTTATTTAACAGATAATGGGTCGATTCAGTAGATTATATGAAATTTGTGTAGGCCACAAAGAAATTATGGGAAGAAAAACATAATATGGAGGAAAAAAAAAAACAATATAAACAAGTATCAGGATTTCACAACCACAAAAGTGAGGTCAGCTGATGCCAACCCTAAAGAAGTCATTGTCATATTAATTATATAGTTATCTATGCATCTACCCTGTTCTATTCACCTGTTTGAAAGAAGTACTATGATATTCCTGGCCCTTTGTATAAAGTATTTAGCTACACTAATGTTGTTAAGCTGTTACAATGTGCTTAGAACAATTGTAAATATAACTGTATCATTTCTATTCATTCTCACAGCTACATTAATCACCTTATTTTATAGCACAGGGAAACTGAGGCGCAGAGATTAAGTCATGCTGAGAGTAAATTGCAGCAAATTACAACCTAGGACAGAGCCATTCAAGAAGCTTCTACTGTTGGTCACTTTTCTCTTATGTTAGCTTATGCAGGATGATGAGGGGATGGTGAGATAGCTCAGTGGGCTGAACCACTTGCTTAGGCAGGCTTAGCCAAGTGTAGGGACTGCAGTTTGATACCTGACACTACATGCCATGCCAGCCCCACCCCCAGGGCAGGCTGGGCTAGCCACAGAGTCCGGGTGTAATGGTACATGCCTGTAATCCCAGTTCTGGGAAGCTGCAAACAAGATGATCACTATGAGTCCAAGCTGCACAGTGAGACTCTGTAACAACCAAATATGTAAAAATAAAAAGAAGATGAAAGATGACGAACTTAAACTGGAAACTAGGAGAGTAAGTTTAAAGCTACGTTGGCCTAGAACTTACAAATACCTAAAAATCTGTCTCGCTAAAAGCAACTCAAAACGGAGGAAAAATACCTTGATTGGTCTTTCATCATACAAAATCTAGTCTTGGCACTTTGTGGCACTAATTATATAATTTGTAAATGCTAGAGATGAGTTGACATGTAATCTTTAGCATTTTACACAGAAACTTTGATCATCATGGTGAATGTCAAAGACAGATGAATGGCTGAGGCCAGCTGGTCACTTCAATTACCACAATCCAATTAGGGTAAATAACCACATTCCTCATCTAAAGATCAGCCTCCCCCTGCGCAGCTGATACTTAATAGGCTGTAGAATAGAAAAGACTGATGTGAGATTCTCGGTTCCAGCTGATACTGAACAAGGAAGCAGAATTAGCCAGGTTTGAATCCACCCAAAGACTGAGACCTGGGGTTCCTGACATA